AGAGAGAGAGAGAGAGAGAGAGAGAGAGAGAGAGAGAGAGAGAGAGAGAGAGAGAGAGAGAGAGAGAGAGAGAGAGAGAGAGAGAGAGACCCAGACATCGAGGGAGGGGGAGTCGAGCACGTACCTGTGTTGAGGTTGCAGCACTTGAACTTTCCAATTGTATTATATCATATTTTTGCGCGGAAATACATCTGCCACCGATTCATGTGTTATCTCTCAGGTGTGATGTGAACTTTCATGTGAATGCTCTCACCTTGCATGTTCGAGTTGGGTTGGAATTGCGGGGTTCATTCAACTATATAGCTACAGTTACGGAGCCAAGTGCGTGTAGAGTCTGTAGACAACAGGTAATCTCAGCCTTCCCTCTCAGCCTCACTTTGTCTGTCTCATTTATCACTTGGTTGCCCTTCAGCACACCCGCTCTTCCACAGAAAGCATGCAAGGCATTGAATGATGATGGCAACTGTCGCTACGCTTTTGTATGTGACAGTTCAGACTCCCAGCCCTTGGACTTGCAGACCCGGTAGACCTGGTAGCCTGCCGGCTTGGACCTCTCAGCCTTTGACTTTTCTGGAAAATTCTCTGGTCTTCCTGGGACCCTGAGACTAAACTGGACTGGATTGGACTGTACTTGAACTGGACTGGACTCCCTTAACCTACCGGGACTAGACTCTAGCCGACCGGTACTCTCCCTGGAACCAAATTGACCAAGTTATGGACCCTCCTTTAACCCTTGATGCTACAGTGCCGACGAACTGAGATTGCAGGCTGCTTGTGCTCTGGAGGAAGGGTCATCTTGCATGAAGGTGGTTCATGTTAGCGAAACTGCACAGGGCTTAACCCCGGGGACTCATGGACCAGACAGTTTGTTCTCAAGGATGTCATTGGTATCAGATGCATTTTGCATTTCTGTCCATTGCACATTTTCCGTTGGTAACCTGCTGGCTCCAACTTACTCAAGACATACCATGAAGGCCAGCCTACCCATTCGGATGTTCCCCATTTTCTACCAGTTACAGTGTGGTCATTATACCCATCTGTGCGACAGTGTAATGCTCAACTGCGACGCAGATCATTGTGAGAGCTCAGCATTCTGTTGCTCCAGGTAATCTTCAAGGACCATCCTTCCATTGTTGTGTGCAGCATCGGAGTCGGTGTGTTCATGTCCTTGTCCACTCTCTCCCTCCTCCGATGACGGAACTGAATCCAGTGTTTCTTAGGGCATACTCACACTAGGGCTCTCCTGTATGTATCTGATCGCAATTACAGGTAGACCTGCATGTATCTCACCACAATTACATCCAGAATTCACTCCAAAAAGTCCTAGTGTGAGTATGCTTACAGTTTGTGCCTAGATGCATTCCACTCTTCCATCTGGTCGGCTTCTGACATGAACTCCAACTCCTCAACTTCTTGATGCAATACCAGGGCCACTGGAAATGGGCACTGCATGTAAGGGCTTGTGCGAGTCCTCAAGTGATTAAGGGGGAAAGAAAGAGTATGACTGCGTTGACTTTTTTTTGAACTGATGCTTTTTGTGGGACCTAGTTTCACAACTCTACTTTCTTCCACTGATGATTTTTATGGGACCTACTTTCAAAAGAGCGTGAGTTTATGAAGGATATCTTCCCAGCAAAAGCTTTGCTCTTGCCAGTGCTGTGAGAACAAGAACCATCAAAGCGTGTGCTCTCGGGTCCTCCCTGAAGTTATCACATTGCTGCAAGGCCTGGGAAACCACAAACATTTAAAGAAACATAACCAAATATCGAATCAAAGTTCAATTTATCCCAAACAGAATCATTTTCAGCAGGCTGCTTTCTAGAATAGCCATGGTCATCAGGGTTGCCTTGGGGAAGGGGACAGGAAGGGGGCAGGTAGGAGGGAAAGGCAGTTGCTTTGATACAATGTCGACGATGCAATTCAGGAACCTTTATTGTAGAACTCTCAAGGTGATGCTCTTCACCCAAGACCCCATTGTGGACTGATGCAACACACACACACACACACGCACACACACACACACACACACACACACACATAGCCTAATTCTTTGCCTTGCTGTAGAGCATAGGCTGTCTCTTGATGAAGGCATGTTTGTGGGTGGCCGCGATTATCTTGTGCGGGAATCTTTGTTTGGAGTCATGGTCACGTTAGCTTCGCGAGGAGGCTCAGAGAGTCTTGGCTGTGGGTGTCACTCCCGAGGGCTGCCCTGTTGGAGCACATGGAAGATGGTGGTGCTTCCATGGTGTTTTAAGCAGTAGTCTTCCTGGTGCCGCGTGGAGATTCTGTGAGTGTATGCTTGGAGTTCTGCCCACAGTATCTTGGCGAGCTCAGAGAGTGTTTGCTATGGGTGCCATTCCCATGGGCTGCTCTTTTCGAGTACATGGAAGAAATGGAGACTTCCAGGGCCCTTTAAGCAGCAGCCCTCCTGGTGTCACGTGAAGATCTTGTGGCCTTGTGCTTCGCTGTGTTGCTGCCTTGCTGCCCATCCGAGTGTTGTTCCTTCCGCGTCCTTTGCTTGTGTGCCGTCCCATTTGGCTGCCTTGCTTGTGTCGCCTTGTGCTTCACTGCATGGTTGTTGTGCTGCTCGTCCACTTGCCATGTCTTCCTTGCAGTCATCTTTGCCGTTGAGCAGCTGTGTTGCCTCTGCAGGGTTGCCTGGTGCTTCACTGGGTTGCTGCCCACTGCTGTGTTCCATTTGGGGTTCATGACCCAAACCATCAATACGGGGATTTCGCAGATTGTCGAGGGTTCAGCCTCCTGATGAGTTTGGTGCCACTCCAATGAAACAATCTTTCATCATCAGCTTTTTTTTTTTTTCGCTTTYTTTTTTTTTTTTTTTTTCCATTAAAACAGGGCCTTATGGTCCTGACTCCTTCCATTCTGGGGAGCGTCAGTCCGGTTCCTATTCCACCGGCAAGTCAAATATGAGACATCACTGCAAAACAACTCACGCTTCCTCCCGTCTGGCCGGAGGACCCCTGAACAGCATTGATTGCTCCACTTTGGGTGGAGGATTGACTGTCAGCTTGCCTAGAGTCCCTCTTCCCTATCAGACCTACTTTCGCAGCTCTGCCAGTTATGACTATTGTGCCTAGAAAGAGATCCTCCCATGCTGCTGTGTGCCCATGCTGGCCCTCACACTCATCCCACCCTTATTTGCTGTGTTCTCCTTGGTCCGACCTGTTCACCCCCGTCCTTGTGGTCTGTTGAACCCTAAACCCTAAACCCTACCCCTCATTTAGATGCCTTAAGTGACCTCCTTTCCTCCCATTAATCCCGCCTACCAGTGATATCCAATATCTTCGTTCTCCGACGAATTTTATCCCTTACCACTATCCTCCCATTGTGAACCCCCGGATCCTACCGATTGACTTGCTATATCCCTCCTGGCCCTTTACTATTTAACCCCTTCCCTAATGGTCTACTAAACCCTCAACCCTAAGCCTTGCCTCTTGCTAATGTTAGCCCTTAAAATCTCGACCCTGGGCCTGTGCCTCCCCCTCCTCCCACCCTCTTAAGCAGCCTGCCTTTAGGGTTGGTCTAGTACTAGTTCCTGCCCCGCGGCGTCCTGCGATGTTTCCTGCTGATTCTCCCTGAACCATTGGAAATGGAGTGTTTTCCCCTCCAGTGTCGCTACTCGGCCCGATGCAAGGACCTTATTCTGAAACTTAGTGATTATTTCCTTGGCTTTTTCCGGGTTCGTTTCCTCCTGTTTCTCCGCTTGTTTCTTAACCCTCTGCCACTGGGCCCTGATATCCGTCTCCAGTAAGTGGTACAGGATTGCCTTAGCTTCCTTTGTGGACATCCCAGTATCACCCACCACCATTTGGCATCTTCTTCTCCACACTGTCCAAAGCGTATAGGTTCTCAGAAGCTCGAAGATACACCTGTGACTTGCCTTCCATTCCCTGGGTGCCTCTGTGCCAATCAGTAGCTGCCCCTCAGCCTTGGGGAAGGGAACGTCCGTAACCCTGTCCCAGAGAGTGCGCGCCACTTTCCATATCTGCTTCGCCTCAGCGCAGGAGATGAGGCAGTGTTTCATTATTTCCGGGAGCCCCCCTGTACACAAGGTGCTGTTCTGCTCACCGTCTACCCTGTTTGGCCTGCTCCTCCTATCATAGAGCCAAGTATTAACCGGGAGGGCGACGTGAAAGATGAGCCATTGCAGACTTCTCACCTTACCTAGTCTTATGGCTTGCAGCCTTGACCATGGGAGCTGCTCCACCCGCCCACTTGGTATCCCCTCACGCTTTTCCCATCTGATGGCTAGGGGTTGGTCCGTCTGTATCGATCCCCCTCTTAATTTATAGCCCAACTTGGTTGTGTACCGCAGGATGTTGACTTTCGTGGTTATTCCTGAAACTCTCCCCTTTATGTTCCATGCCCACTCTGCCGGGTCTATCTCGAGTTCCTGTATGGCCRTTGTAGGAGCAAACGCCGTGAGTYCATCATCCTCTATCACCCTTATTTTCCTTAACCCATTCTTCCTGATAGCGACTGCTACTTTCGCTGCCKTGTCTAGAGGACTAACTGTGGCGCCGGGAGACAAAATAGGAAACATTTCCCCCTCCAGCCACTGATTGTCAGGACCCACCTCCTGATGTATGCGGAAAGCATGTTCCGGTGTTGTGCTGTTGCTCCAAGCCGCCCAGTCTCCCCATATCCATTTGTGCGGTGCCCTCAACAGTTGGGTCCATTCCTGCGGGATGGAAATCAGGATGTCGTTCAGGTTTTCTGTGAGCCTGTGACAACCCTTCATCGAGACTCTTAGCTCCCTCCCTGTTTTCCACCTTCCTTCTTCTTGGGACCACAGGTGTTTAATCTGCCACACCCCGTGCTCCACCCAGTTGCCCCATCTGGTATCTCTTGCTGTCAGTGTCCTTGGCTTCCCTTGGGAGTCTTTTAGCCAGGGATTGCAGAATAGAGGCTGTCTGAGGACCTCCTCCTTAGACCTGGGTTTCCTTACTCTAGCCGGGAATATCTCCTCCCAAATCTTCAGGATCCGGGCCCAGTACAAGGAGGAAGCGGAGTCTTCCTCCCCCTCCTCTTCCCCCCTTCTGCCCCTCTTTGACCATCCCTTGCAGAAGATCCAGAAAGTCCCCTCCATGTTGGAAGGCGTAGAATACCTGGACAGTCCTCGAATGTGTTCTTGGAACTTGCACTTTTTTCTTGCCTACTTCTTCTGTCTTGCTACTTTTTGGCTCACTGCCTTGTGTTGTTTGTCTGCCCGCCCGCCTCCCCCATGCCCTCCAGGCTTTGTCTTTTGCTTCACTGTCGTTTGTGCCTTGCTGCTTTATGTTGTTTGTCTGCCTGCCCTCCTCCCCCATGCCCTCCAGCCTTTGTCCCTTGCTGCTCACTGCTCGTCTGATGCCTTGTTGCTATCCGCCCTTTGCTTTACTGTCTTCTGTTGCTTTTCCAGCCTTTGCATGACTTTTTTTTGTGTTCATCTCATCGGCATACCAGGCTGCGGGCTCATTTTCATGTGTTGTTATACCCATACCTTTTGAGTCTTGACACAACCTGCCGCGGCATGGTCGTGGAAGTTTAATGCACAAAACAAAACACACACACACACACACACACACACACACACAAACAGTGGGTGCTTGTCCTTCGTATTTGCTATACAGAGCTCTACAGAAAATAGGTGACTGCAACAGACTGCTTCATCAGACTTGTGTGTATGTGAGGGAGAGAGAGAGAGAGCTGCAAGTGATGTGCGACAATGCGATGCGCGTCGCCTACTGGAATGGGTTGGCACCACATAATTTAAGCTGGTATGTGCAATGAATGTCAGTCATCGTTGTGCACCATAATGAGAATCAGCACACCATTATAGCTTTAACTATGGATAGATAGATAGATAGATAGATAGATAGATAGATAGATAGATAGATAGATAGATAGACAGATAGATATATAAGTGAGGGACACGGTGAAGGGGGAGTTAAAAGAAGAATGAGAAAAATGCATGGTTTCAGTGTGCCCTTCATGTTCGTCTTGTTTTTTAATTTTTTTATTTTTGCCGTTTGCTTCGCAAAGTGCGCTCTTTTAGTTCATAGTTATGTGACAATATATATATGTGTGTGTGTGTGTGTGTGTGTGTGTGTGTGTGTGTGTGTGTGTGTATGTGTGTGTGTGTGTGTGTGTGTGTGTGTGTGTGTGTACATTAAAAGAAAAGTATTACCTTCACACAATGCAGAAATGCCTGCTCCGCTAGTCCCTGTTACCACACATACCATGGACATAGACCCTTACATCGTGAGAAAACAGTCTCAAAGACCAAATGTGAACTACACTGGCAAGATTTTCCAAATGGAAATACAATCATGTGGCTTGGAAGAAATGATACGTCTTATCATTGCTGCTACTAACTGATTCAGAGCACTTAAAAACCAAGTATTAGAAGACTGTTGTGGCTTCAAACGCAAGGAAGGGAAAAAATGAAAGACGAAAAAAACCATGTGCACAGAAAGAGAACAGACCGGTAATTGCTCAATGCCAGCCGTTGTGGCAATAAATGTACTTGGAATGCTCAGCTAGGTCTGCCATGTCCTCATCCATCTCATCCTTACAATTTATGTCCTCTCTGTCGTCAAGGACAAGCTGATTCTTGAGCCTTCTTTTTATCTTTTCCTATCTTGATTCCACACTCCTTACTTTCCCCCTATTCCCGGTTGTTTTCCTCTGCTTTGCCTTTGTCTTCCTTTACTTTGTCCTCTTTCCATATGTTCTCTCTGTTTATCCCCTCCCCTTTTGCTCTGCCTCTTGTTCACAGCATACAAGCGGACAGTTATGACACACGGGGATGTGGGCAGCTTGCACTCAACTTCATCAATGTGGCAAGTGTTGTACGTGAGAGGCACAGTTAAAGGGAGCTCAAAGAAGACATGATCAAAAGAATGGTTTCAGTTTGCTCTTCATCTTTGTCTGGTGTAATTTTGTCATTTGCATCACAAAGTGAGCTCTTTCAGTGTGACAATATATATTGTCACATATCTATGAACTAAAAGAGCGTATATGCTTAATGCCAATATATATGCTTAATGCCGGTTGTTGCAGCAATTGTTGTACTGAGAATGCTCAGCTACGTCTTCCATTCACCTCACCATTACAATGTATCTACTATCTCCTCTCTGTTGTCAAGGACAGTCTGATTCCTGAGCCTTCTCTTATCCTTTCCTATGCTTCATCTTCGTTCCACTTTCCCGTTGTCTTTCTTTGCTTTTCTTTCCATCTTTTCTCTCTGTTTATCCCCTTGCCCTTTACTTTGCCTCTTTTTCACAGCATACAAGTGGGCCGTTATGGAAAACGGGGATGTGGGCAGCTCGAGCCTTTAAAAATGAGAGGCACGGTAAAGGGGAAGCTAAAAGAAGACATAATAAAACAGGCAACGGTAAAGTGGACAAGGAAGGTGCTACATGCCCAGTTGGGCAATCTATGTATAGCCAAGGATCTGCAATGTGAAAAAAAGGACTGAATGGACAATGCGGTGTTAGTGGAATCTCAACCAGCAATGTACATCCTGATACATACAAAACGGCACCTTGTAGCGCAGTGGAAGACTTAGATATAAGCCCTGACCTGACCAGGACAGACCTCTTTCACGTAGTACAAGACAGCGTACCAGAATGCTAGAATACCAATGACTAGCCCAATCAATGTCGCAATGCAGACCAAACATACATCATCCTCGTCACAAGGTGTGAAAGGGCCTGGCGCTACACACAGGAAGAATGTGCCAGGTCCAGACCATACACAGACGAAGAGGAGGAGATCAGACGAAGACGAGGGGGGAGATGGGAATGTCGTCAACACCAAATCTTCGGTACAAGTCCCAAATAATCCCTCGTCAAATGTCTGAAGCCCAATGTCTAGTCTGGATCCAAATGTCACCAATCCCTCTCTCTCGTAGTCTGGTGATGCAGTGAAGTCAGGTAGCAAGAGGGTGAGGGGGAGATGGTGGACTGAGAAGAGGAAGAAGAAGAACTCTCTCTCTCTCTCTCTCTCTCTCTCTCTCTCTCTCTCTCTCTCTCTCTCTCTCTCTCTCATGT